GGGAGCTGGTTGAGACTGGAGGTCAGAGAGGCTTTTCACAGGAGATGTCTGTGAAGAGGGGACCCAAGCAAGGGGCCCCAGCCAAGGGGAGGAAGTGGGGACAGCCCTGGCAAAGATCTGGAGGGGGAAAAGCCATGTTCTCCCCCCCAGACTCTTTAGTGAGTTTCCATTCTTTTATGCTTCCCTGAGTGCTTTGCAAACAGTTGGCACTCAACAGATGCCCATCGGGGTGAATTGATCCCAGGAGGGAGAGATCAGAGAAGAACTAGCTCCCTGGAATTCTTCCCCCTGGGGTAGAGCAGCTTTGCACGCCCAAACTTGCCACCAGATTTAAGCAGCTTTCCTAGGTCATGGAATCAGGAGGATGGGATTTGACAAATACGTGCCAGAGTTTCCATGAGCTCAGGCAAAGCTACAGGCGATGGTGAGGATGGGCCCCTTCTTCCACCCACTGCATGAGGAGGGGGCAGGTGAAAGGCTCAGGAGAACTCAACCCCCTATTGGACCTGAGATTCTCAGAGAGAAGGGACCTGCCTTTCACTTAGGCTTGTGGTTCGCTGTTTACTGAGGGCTTCCTCTGTGCCAGGGGCTTGACTCGACTTGTACAGTTCGCACAACGACCCGGTAAAGATCTCCATGGACAGGGGAGGAAGGCAATGCACAGAGAGGCTAAGTCACTTGCTCAAGGTCATGCAGCTCAAGAGCGGTGGGTGGGGGAGCCGACCCCCTGATCTGTCTGATCAAAATGCACACTCTTTCCACTCCCCACTAGTTCCTTCCCGGGGGACCTCTGGGGGAGAGAGTGGGTTTGGTTGCCCCAACTGAGTCCCCAGGTCTGTCAGAGCATAATGTGTGGCTTTTGGCTGTTTTCCTGGAAAGCCCGGAGCCTCTTTTGGGGCAGAGAGTGAGGCTTGGGGACCCTGGGTCAGTACTGTGTCTCCTCACCCTGCTTGGGACCTCTGCAGGCCTTAACCCAGTCACTCCTGAGCCCCTTTGGTCTATACCGCTCTGAACACCACTGGACATGACTGCTCCTTGCTTTGTCCAGCCGTTTAATCTGTCCCCCACCGGAAGATCAGCCCCAAATGGGCCAGGTTTTTCTCCGTGTCCTCTGTACCTGGCACGCCGTATGTTCCAGAAATCATTTGGCGAGTAAATGAATAGAGGAGTGGTTTCTAATCCTTTTCCTTGGGCCCTGAGATTCCGATCCCCCTCCATTCGTCTTGTCCGGCCACCCTCTGCATGGACCACAATCTGGTTTTTATGTTTGGAAGCGAAGCTCAATGCTTAAAACAACACGTGAAATTGACTGGTTTCAGTGACGCTCAGCAAGTGGGGAGGTTCCCACTCAGGCATACCCATCCTCCACTGGGCCTCTGGTGGCCCTGGTGCCAGCTGGGAGCTGCCTGCTGTGCAGGCCTTCTGGGTGGGGCAGCTCCCAGGGGCTCACCATGGGCACATGCACACGTGTGTGCACATTGCGCGGGGAAAGACACAGAGAAGCAGACCTGACGTTCCCGCCCTGATGAGGCCCACGGGGACTCTCTGCCTTTCTTCCCTGCCCGCACCCCCTTCCGTCCCAAGCCTGGCATGGGTTTAGAACGTGTAATAGCAGCCTATAGGGCAAATTAAAACAGGGAGGGAACTCTTTTCCTGACCGCAAAGGACAGGGTAGTGTTTGGGTGTAGAATGGTGAGAGAGCAGCAGAGCGGACTGTGCACATGTGTGTGTGTGGATGCACACGTGTGCATGTGCACGTGCATGTGCTCCCTGGCATGTACACCAGCATGGGCTGTGTGGAAGGAGCCCAGGCTTAGGATCGAAAAGCCTTCTTCATGGCCATTTGCTCCTGGGTGGCCTCTGGGGGCCTCAGTGCCCTTAGCTGTGAAATGGGAGCCGGGGCCCAGCTTTGTTGGCCAGGCTTTCATGGGACGGCACGGTGGCAGGGGGTACCGGGCTACAGTTCTGCATGTGCCTGTGCGTGGGGAGGGGTGTGAGGAGGGCAGTTTAACATGCCGTATATCACACACAATGGTGATGATGGCAATGGAAGCATTCGCCAGTGCTTCGCTAGGAGCCCAAGAGGCCTGTGATCGGCCTTATGTCACGGCAGCCCTGAGGGACGGAGGCTGTCGCCACCACCCTCATTTGACAGGTAGGGAAACTGAGGCTCAGAGAGACTGGCATGGGCTGGCGGGGATCATCCTTAGCTCCCAGAGTTTGTGCAGCTTGAATAAGATACCATCAGTGGTTGACCTGGTGCCTGGTGGCCATGCAGGACCCAGTCAATCCAGGGCTTAGAGTAGCCCAAGCTTGGCAACCAAATGCTCGGATTTGGATCCAGGCTCTGCCACTAGCCTGCTGTGTGGCCCTGGGCAAGTCACTCAGTCTCACTGACCCTCAGCATCCTCATCTGTAAAATGGGAATGAGAGCCATACCTCCCTCCAGGGCAAGGTTCCCCGACCTCAGCACTGTTGATGTCTTGGGCTAGATCGGTCTGGGCAGCGGGGTTTCCCCTGTGCGTTGTCATAATTATGGTTTTATCATAATTAAACCCTAATAATGATCCCACGTACCTTGCCTAAGGCTACAAGCAAGGAGTGAGTGGCCGAGAGGAGATTTGAACCTGGGTTTGGCTGAATTTAGACCCCTCATCGTGGAGCCCTCCCAAACCGTGGATACCGGCCAGGTTGGGGTTCCTTAGGAGATGGGGTGCAGGCATGATGGGGGGTTGGGAGCGCTCTGAAGCGGGAGATTTCCCCACTGGCTCCAGTGGGGAAAGGGGTATGGTAATTGGGAGGGTGTTGACAGCAGAGGAACGTGCCTCAGTGCCTTCCCTCCCCTCCTGGGAGGTCCCCAGAGAGGTGGGCAGAGCTATTGCCCCTAGAAGTACAACCTACCCCCCGCCATGCCTGCACCCCAGTGAATTCCTGTCCCTGCCTAACATGCTCCTCATTCTTGTGGAACAAAGCCATCTAACACCTCCCAAGATCTCTAGGAGGATGTGGGGTCACCCCGGTTTTACAAGGAGAGAAACGGAGACCCAGACACAGAAAGTGATTTGTCCAAGATCACACAGTTGCTGGAGTCCAGGGCTGAGAGAGGAACTCTGTGTGTCTGATTTCAGCACCTCTGCTCCTAACCCTTCCTTCCTTCCTCCTTTGATTAGACTCATCGAAAGCCCCTGATTTATTCCCAGTGTTGGCCTGGAAAATGCCTGACCTCACTGAATTCTTCCCACAAGGCTATGAAAAGCTGCTGCCTTTACTCCCATTTTATTTTATTTTATTTTATTTTATTTAAAGATTTTATTTATTTGTTTTTAGAGAGAGACAGAGAGTGAGGGGAGGGGCAGAATGGGAAGGGAGAGGGACAAGCAGACTGCCCTCTGAGCACAGAGCCCAACACGAGGCTTGATCTTATAACCCTGAGATCACATCCTGAGCCAAAACCAAGAGTTGGCTGCTTCACCAACCGAGCCACTCAGGCGCCCCTGCACCCATTTTATAGGGGAGGAAACTGAGGTTCAGGGAACTGAAGTGACTTTCCCAAGGTCACACTGCTTGTCAATAGCAGCTGAGCCTAGAACCTAGGCCTGAGTAACTCCAGAGTCTAGGCTCTCCCTCCCCACTGGTGCCCAGAAAAGGGCCAGTCCCCAGCAGGAGAGGGGACCCTCTGTAAGTTCCTCTGTACCCACCAAGAGAGGCCTCTGGCAGTGCCCCTGCCTCTCTGGCCTTAGCCTCCCCTCAAGCAGTCACAAAACAAACAAGGTGGGAAGCAGTGTTTATTTGCTTCCCTGCTCATGTGTCGGGCAGGGAGAGGAAGACATAGAAAAGAGAGCTTTTCAGACATCTCCCTGCAGCCAGGGTGGGATGGCGCAAGTTTCAGGAAACTCGCCCTCAGTGCCCAGCACCGCCTGCCCTGCAGAGGGCAGTGGCCTGCCAGCCAGCCCGCGGGGCCTTACTCCTCCCCATCCTTGTTCCTGGTTCACCGTCGGGCCCAGAGCTAGGGAGACCTGGGTGCAAGTCCAACTCTTCTCCCTAGAAGCTGGGTGACAGCCCCTCTTAAAGCTCCAGTTTCTCCATTTGAGAAATGGGAACACATCACACCTCTGTCCACGTGGCACCCTTCTAGGTGTTAGGGACGCAGGAGTGAACAAGACAGAAGCATTCTCTGCCTCCTGGTGCTCATGGCCCAGGAATGGACTAGTCCCATGGACAGATGGTCAGGGAGGGCTTCCCAGAGGAAGGGACAATTGAGCTGGGATTACAGGTGGGTAGGAGTTAGCCAGACCAACAGGGGAGGGAAGGGACGGGCATTTGGCCCAGGGGGGCCAGGGTTTTGCACTGTAGTAAGTCAGCTATAGTCTAGGGAACTCAGTTTCCTGTTCTGCAAAAGGGGAGTCATGAGGATGGGCGCTAGGAGAGACAGAGGAGCCCTGGCTTACGCAGTGGGTTCACACCTGTGTTTTCTGAGCACCGGCTGGGCCCAGAGCATGTATTTAATGGTTATGTTCTAGTTAGTGCCTGACCACGGGAATGCATGCTCTCTGCTTGGACACCCCCATTTTACAGGTGATAAAACTGAGGCCGTGAAATCAACTTGCCCAATGCCACGCAGTTGCTGAGTGTGGTGCCCCGATTTTTTACCTGCTCTGTGGGGCTCTGAATCCTGCCAGGTTGGGCAGGAGTAAAGCCCCAGGCCCCAGGCTTGGGGTCCCAGGGATGACTCTGAGGCCCTTCTTCCTCCCCCTAATGCCCAGGGTAGTTGGACCTGAGGCACATTTGCATTTCTAGGTCCCTAAAAGAGGCTCCTGTTGCAGCCCTTGCCTGGGGCTGGTAGCCAACCACATCTGGGAGTGGTCACCCCTCACCCCTGTCATTACAACAGTGGCTTTGAAGCAGCTGGCAGCAGTGCTGTTTGCCCACATGGGAGGGGGCTTCCTGGAGCCCCCACCACTGGCCGGGCTCTGCCTGACTCTCCTCCTGTTGCCTTGCAGGCAGAGCAGCGCAGACGGGTCGTGGGTTGGCATGGCAGATCCCAGTGAAGGCCCCCACACCGGGCCTGGGGAGGTGGCCGAGAGCCCCGTGGATGAGAGCGGCACCCCTGGCAGTGAGGCCTTCCCCCTGTCTTCTCTGGCCAACCTGTTTGAGGGCGAGGATGGCTCCCCCTCCCCGGCTGACCCCAGCCGCCCCGCCGCCCCAGGGGATGCACGACCGAACTTACGCATGAAGTTTCAGGGTGCCTTCCGCAAGGGGGTGCCCAACCCCATCGACCTCCTGGAGTCCACCCTGTATGAGTCCTCGGTGGTGCCGGGACCCAAGAAGGCACCCATGGACTCGCTCTTTGACTATGGCACCTATCGTCACCACCCCAGTGACAACAAACGGTGGAGGAGGAAGGTCATCGAGTGAGTATCACGGGCCGCCTGGCCAAGAGTTTCCTCTGTGTCGAGTCCAGCCACCCATCCGTCCATCCGTTCTCCTACCTGTTCACTCACCTGTCCACTTTTCCATATACTTGTCTGTTCAGCTATCATCCAACCGTCTACCCATTCATTTCTCCAGTTACCTGTCTTTCCACCTGCTCATCCACTTTTCCAATCCATCCGTCCATACCCCTCTACCCTCGATCGCTCCAGCCACCCACCTACCGGAACCCGTAACAACCCCCCTCAGGCCTCTTTGTGTATCTAGAGGACAGTCTTGAAGTCAGGAGATGGCCGGTTGCTGCCCAATCCCCGCCAGTCCTCCTTGCCAGTCACAGACTCATTTATGCCCTTGGATGAAGCCCTTGCTCAGTAAGGAGCTGTCCCCTTTCTTTATTCACTGAGTCAGTGATTCATGTAGTGCCTGTTTCTCAAGCACCCACCCCCGCAGCCCATGTGCCAGGTGGTGCGGTTGGCCCTGTGGCTCTAGGGGTGAGCCATACCAGATCCTGCTCCAACTGAGATTAGACCCTGAGCAGCCTTCACTGGCACCTTCATTTTGGAGGGTGAGCCAGGTAATAAGCAAGTAAATAGACACGTGAACATACAGTTTGGGTTGGGAGAGGTGCTGAGGCAGAGAAAGGAACTGATACAGGAAAGGTAGTCCAGGAGGGCTTCTTGGAGGAGTCAGTATTTAACCCAATACTAAGGGATGAGAAGGAGTGGCCATACGGGGTGAGGAAGGTGTTCCAGTGGAGCGACATGCATGTACCAGGACCCAAGCCTGGAGGGCGTAGGTGTGCCCAAGGAATGAGGTCTTGTGATCATCTACATGCTACCGGACAGTGTGTTTCACCTCTGCTCAGAGGACAGCAAAGCACCCCAGGGTCCCCATCCCTTTTAGGTCCTGTTGGAAGCTGGTGGGCTCCATGTCTCCCTTTCCTCATCCTTGGAACCCCTTCTTCAAGCCCTCACTGAACCCCTACCCCAGACAGTCAGGGCCAATAGCTCCCAGGAGGGCTGTGCAGGGACTGGGGCTGAGGTCTTCAGAGACCCCGAATGCCACCCAATGAGGTGTGGGGGTGAGGGCGTTCTTTTCATTTCATTTTTTGGTTCCAAGCTCACAATTCAGGAGCAGATAAAATGGGGGCTGTCCAGGTGCTCTCCCAGTCTATGCCCCGATCTCAGGAGGGCACCTCTTCCCCTGCGCGGGGCCTTGCCCCTGGTGGGGAGTGTGCGGCCCAGTGCCCAGGAAGGAAGGAGAGCAACTGTCCATGTCCCCTGGCCTGCTACCGGTTCTCTCTGCCCCTTAGCCCCTCCTGACTCAGTCTCCCCCCGCCGACCTGCCGCTGTCACTGTTCCCCCTCGGCTCCCCTCCTCTCTCCCCCACTGTCTCTGTTTCTGTCTTTCTCTGCTCTACCCTCTGTTCGATCGTTTGGACAGGTTCTTCCTGTGCCCCACATGCGCCAGCGCTGGGTGGGTGGGGACAAAACAGAGAGGATTCTTGCTCTTCCTGGGGCCCCCGGACTAGTGCTGCTCCCAGCTTTTGTCTCTTAAAACCTAGCACGCAGTAGGTGTCCAAGTGGTGTTTGTCCAATGACCAGGGGGATATCTCTGGTCATCTACCTTGTCTCTCCGCTGGCCAGTCCAGCCCCTGAGGGTTTGTACCCTTTCTCCACCTGCCTCTGTAGCTTGGCATTTCTCCCCAACCTCCTCCCTCCCCCACAGGCTCTGGGACACACAGTGGGTGCCAGATAATAGCCTCAGTGTCCGCTAACGTGTGCCGTGTCCTGCTGTGCAGGGAGCCTTGAACCCAGCACCTGTGTGCACGGCCTCATTCGTCTCAAATGTTTGTTGAGTGAATAAACCAGTGAGTGAATGGCAGAATCAATGAATGAGTTGCTTTATCTTTTAGTCCAGAGTTCCTCGTTTCTTTTCTTACTGGTTTCTCTTTTTTGGTCTCTGGCTTACTAAGTACTCAGTAACTGACTGATAGAAGAGTGGAAGGGTGGGTGGGTGGGGTGGAAGGGTGGATGAATGGACAGATGGACAGGTGGATGGATGGATGGATGGATGGACAGTCGGGTGGATGGATGGACAGATGGTTGGATGGGTGGGTGGGTGGGTGGGTAGGTGGACAGACAGATGGATGGGAGGATGGGTGGATGGGCCAGTGGTAGATGTGTGGCTGGTAGGTGGGTGGATGGATAGGTGAGTGGGTGGACAGATGCATAGGCAGGCTGATGTTTCTTTTTGTCTGTTTCTACCCAACACACAGTAGGTACTAGGCAGAGTTTGTTGTGATAAGATTTTTCTTTGTTTCCCCAGCTGTCCCTCCCCTCTATTCTAGTCCCTTCTTAGGGCTCCAGCTCCCTCCACCTCCCCGCCACAACCCCTGGGCCCCTCAGGCCAGAGATGGTGGGGTGGGAGGGGGATGAGCCCTTCCATCACCCTGCCTTCCCCCACCTCCAGGAAGCAGCCGCAAAGTCCCAAAGCTCCTGCGCCACAACCACCCCCCATCCTTAAAGTCTTCAACCGACCAATCCTCTTTGACATCGTGTCCCGGGGCTCCACTTCTGACCTGGATGGGCTGCTTCCCTTCTTGCTGACCCACAAGAAGCGGCTGACTGACGAGGAGTTCCGGGGTGAGCCACCCAGGTGGGGGTCGTGGGTGGGCCAGCCAGGGCATGAGGGAGGCCTGGCATGGGGGCCCCCTTTCCTCTCAGCATCTTCTCCTGTTTTGCTGGTCTGCATTGGCATGAAGAGCACTGGAGAGGGAGTCTAGTCCTGTGTGTCCTTTGCCATATTACTTAACCCTTTTGGGCTTTTACTACCATTATTCATTCATTCATTCTTTCAGCCTTAATTTATGGCAAGGTCAGTGTTGTAGGTAAGCAGACTTTACTCACACAGGTTCAAATCCCACCTCCATCACTTCAGGGATGTATGGCCTCCCTGAGCCCCAATTTCCCCATCTGTCAACTGAGGAATACTAATAGCCTAGTCCTGGCAGAGTATTCCGGCTTCTGCTCGCGGGCTCTGCCCTACCCCAACCAACTCTCGGGGCTCCCTTCCTAGGCTGAAGCCAAGGTCACCACTGCCTGCAACTTCTCCCAGCCCAGAGAACTCACCCCTGAGCCTTGTCTGGGCTCCAACCTGCACCTCCAGGGATCAGCTCCCCCTGCCGCCCTGGCCTTCCCTGCAAATTGGCCAAGTTGCTCTCTGAGCCCCCAGACCTGACTCAGTCACCTGCTGTGTGCTGGGTGCCAGGTTTAGGAGCCATAATTAACTGGCCAAACGACCCCGCAAATCAGCATAAGATGTTGAGAACCATGGCACCTGTTACAGAGGAGAGCCTGTCTCTAGAAGGCTGGCGGCTGTCTGCCACTGGGGGCTGATGAAACTTCCGGAAGGTCAGAGGGGCCATTTTCTGAGACTTCAAGTATTTCAGCTAAATTCAGTGCCAGAGCAGGGGGTACCTAGCCAGCGGTGTATTTTTTGCGTGTATCTTTCCCAACCAGATCCTTTGAACACCAACGCGATACGGTGCAGTATCTCGACTGTCAGAAGAGAATTCCTGGATTTATAAAAAATAGTCCTTCATGGCGCGCACCTGGATGGTGGGGCTTCTTGGAGGCATGAGCTTAGAGCTGTGGCCCGTCGGGGCTCCTCCCTGTCCTTGGATGGTCTCAGTGACTATGTTTAAGCCCTTGGCCAAACGGCCCCTGCAGACCCCCCTAGAGCAGTCTGCACAAGGAGGGATAGGCTAGGGGGAGAGCAAACCCCTGTGTCTCCAGCGAGACTGCACAGCTCCGGGCTGGGCTCCCAAGGCTCCAGCTGCTCCCAGGTTTACGACTGAGTCAGGGGCTTGTTGCCTAGGCCAGGAGCCCCCAGGCGAGTGTATCTGTGTGCATGAGCAGAGGTGGGGGGTCCCCCAAAACTGCAGAGAACAGTGCATGTTATTGGGGGGTTAACCATGAGGCCTATGAGGCTAAGTAAGCTATAGAGCGGCTCGTTTGCTCTTGCCCCTTCCAAGGCCCTACAACTAATTTTGAATTCATAATTGCATATTTGACTTCAGTGCCCCAAAATCATGCAAATCTGAGGCCCCTGAAAAACCTGGATCCACCCCTGCATGTTGTTCTAGCCAGAGGCTCATGAGCTCATCTGATTCTCAGGGGAATCTGACCACCACCCTTCCAAGTTTGACACCCTCCCATCTGGGATTCCTTTAGGGCCCCTCTCCCCTAGCAGCCGCTTTGCCACCTGGTGGCCGAGTCCCAGAACTGCGTGCCACTCTTGGCATTTCATCCCAGGACCCAGGCTAGCAGCCCCCCATCCCGCTACAGTCTGGGTCTGGGAGGTGTGGGAGCCCAAATTCAAGGTCTCGTTCCATACCCCACACAAACCACTTTGGGTTATCTGTCGTTTGGAGTCACCTGTGGTGACCAGCTCATGAGGTGCTGTGCCAGGCATAGGGCGAACAATGGTGAATGAGGCAGAACACAACCCTGTCCTCAAGTTGCTTGCAGTTTCCTGGGGCAGATCAACATTCATCAAGCAGTCAAGGAAATAAAAACAGTTATAAACTGTAATGTGTGCCAACAAACAGCTGTCTTGGAAGCTTGATCTAGTCAGGAAAATCTGGGAGAGCTTCCTGGAAGAGGTGACACTTAAGCTGAATCAGAAAGAGTTGCAGTTAACCAGTTAAAAAAAGGAGGAAGGACCAGGGAGGGGATGCAGGACAGCATGTGCAAAGGCCCTGTGTCTCACTGCAATAGCATGTTCTTCCGTGACCACTCTAGCTGCTATGAGGATTGAAGGAAATCCAGAGAGGCTAGTGGAAACCCGGCAGGTGTCTTGGGCCAAGGTGGTGGCAGTGGAGATGGGGAGTGGTGGAGGGATTGAATAGGACATGCTGAAGGGGACATGAGAGAGAAGAGAGGACAAGGACAAGGGTGACACAAAGGTTTGTGGCTGGAGGGAGACCCCATCCTCTGAGGAGGGGACACAGATGGGCTGGGAGTTGGCTTTGGGAGGGAGCGCAGAGAGTTGCAAGCTGCCTGAATTAGGAAATGGACTGACAACTCCTTGAGGCTACAGCTGAGTGTGAGTGTGTCTGGAGAGACTCGCCAGGGCCCCTGACCAGCATTTGGGGCACCCCCACCCCACACTTATGCAGATGAGGAACTGGAGTCTGCTTTTCCTTCAATTCAAGGTAGAGCTCCTGGTGACTCTGGGCTGGGCACCAGGGATCAAGCAGGAAGCAGCTTGTCAGGAATGAGGCTTGTCTACGGGACCTCAGTCCTGGGGGCACCGGGCCTGGAACTCAGGTCTCTGCGAGTCTTTCTTGTTCTTCCCGCTGACTCCTGGCATCTAGGGAGAAATTCCTATGCCACCCCGTAATGGAGTATTGACTGAGGACTTTTACCTGCCCGGTGCTGGGCTCATCAACCAACATCTGGTAGCTCTTCGATGTCCTCTGTGGCCTGTTTAGCCAGAGGGGAAACTGAGGCAGAGGAAGAGTCACAAAGGAATGGGGAGTAAAGCCAGGAGTTGAACCCCAAGGTGCCTGGCCCCCCAGGTCTCAGCTCACACCTGCATCTCCCATTCTTAATCCCATTTCTGCTTCGGCCGTTCCTGAGGCCCCAGCATTCTTAGGGGAGTTCTCTTCCCGTTGACGCTTGCTTGCTTGTTTGCTTGCTTGCTTTCTTTTTAAGATGTATTTATTTATTAGAGAGTGGGAGGGGATGGGGGGAGGGGCAGAGGGTTGGGAGAGAATCTTAAGGAGACTCCCTGCTGAGCAAGGGCTCTACCTCAGGACCCTGACATCATGACCTGAGCCCAAACCAAGTGTCAGACACTCAACTGACTGAGCCACCCAGCCGCCCTGCATTAACTCATTCTTTTAAGATATAAGTTAACTTGTATATCCATAAAAGTCAACCCAAGGGAAAGAAAATTACCAGTGTCAGTGGACGGTGTTAAGGACCTGTTTCTATCATGCAGACACCAGCTTCATGAGAGAGGTTTGACAACAAGCTCATAGCGGGACTTCAGTGTCATCGGTCGCACGCCAAAGCCCTTTCCTGCTCCTCCTAAGATAATTTCATGTCCACTATGGCGGGCAGTCTGCACTTTGGGGACTGTTGTACCCCATCTGCCCCCTTCTAGTGGCATTGATGTAAATACTTCATGGGAAGAAGATCCTCTGTTCAAGTAGGTGGCAGATGCTTCCTGCTATGTCTGGCTTTAGAGCTTCACATTTGTCATTGGCATATCAAAGGCTCTGACAAGTCCTGTAACAAGTAAATATTGGTTGGCTTTCTTTAACTCAGGATTCCCCACCATTTATTGTATTTTTAAAATTCCCTCCAAATTGTGGTTCCGTATATCCCAATCTCAACAGGCTGTGGCTTCCCACATTTGCAGAACTGCCCCTCCAGGTTTATTGGACCCCTCTCAGCACCATGGGGGCAGTAGGGAATGGGCTCAGAGGGGAGGTGTGACATGGGCCCAGTGCCCTGTCCCCTGCTGCCCAGTAGTTCCCTGGACTGAATGTCCCTCATCGCATATGTGTGTCCCCCATCCTGTATGTGTGTCCCCCCAGAGCCGTCCACGGGGAAGACCTGCCTGCCCAAGGCCCTGCTGAATCTGAGCAACGGCCGCAATGACACCATCCCTGTGCTCCTGGACATCGCTGAGCGGACGGGCAACATGCGAGAGTTCATCAACTCGCCGTTCCGGGACATCTACTACCGAGGTGGGGCCCTGCACTGGGGCAGGGGTGATGCAGGGTGGTGAAGGGGAGTACTGTCCTTGCTCCTCTGACCCACGCCACCCCAAGAGCTTTCGTCTACGCCCGGGGTGCCATCACATGTCCAGAAACTGATCACTGAATGACTCCCGCTTCTGTCGGTTCTAATAGTCCGTGAACTTGGCTTTGGGACCTGAGGTGCCATGGCTCTGGGTGATTTAAGTCTCCACGATAGTAGTCCTATGGGCCAGCAGCACTAAGGGGCAAGGGGATTACCAGTCCCTGCTCCCCGGGGTCAAAGTTTTGAGATTCCATGAATCAGACTTGACTTTTCCGATTCCCAGATGTGGATATTCAAAGCCTGTGAATTTTATAAATTCAGTCCAAAGTTCTGTGGGACCACAATGCCTTGGTCTCCTGGGGTAAAGCCCCCTGTGAGTCTTGACCAGTCCCCACACTTGGGATCCGACACGTGGGCTCTCCTCTGAGTCTACGTTCCGCTTGCCCAACACATGTTAGGCCTTCACACGACAGAGATCCCACATCCAGGCAGCGTCTAGAGGTCCGTTGCTGCCCTTGGGAGGAGCCGGCTGAGGCCTGGGGCTGCAGCTCACACTCCGCAGCCCCCCACCCCCGTCCTCAAGCCTGGTCTGGTCTTTGCCCCCAGCTGGTGACAGCCCTTCACCCCTCCCCACCAGGTCAGACCGCCCTGCACATTGCCATCGAGCGGCGCTGCAAACACTATGTGGAGCTCCTGGTGGCCCAAGGCGCCGACGTCCATGCCCAGGCCCGGGGCCGCTTCTTCCAGCCCAAGGACGAGGGAGGCTACTTCTACTTTGGTGAGGAGGGGGCAGTGAGGGCTGGGGGACATGGGGTGTCCACAGCCCTGGCCCCTCCCCAGACAACCAGAACCCTCCTCGCATGTTGTGTTGGTCCCCAGGGTCTTACTATGAGGAGTAGAGCATCACTGGCTCCTGAAGCCTCAGCTTCCCCATCTGTACTGTGGGGACCATGAGCGCCCCCGGGGCTGTGATGGGTGGTCAGCTCCTGCACACAGCACCGCATCGTGCTCGTCCTTTAGTCCCATCAAAGCTGGGACCAGGATCCCGACTACAGAGCCCACACCCCCCATCACCACCACATCACCCCTGCTTAAGGCACACGCTATTAGAAGTTCAGGGCCAAAGTCCCTCCGCATCACAGAGCCACACCCCATCTCCAGCATGTCACCCACGGAAATGTGCACCTGCCTAATGCCTTGCTACTGACTGTCAGGACCGTGTCCAGTGTCCCCGGCTCTGTTCCCTGAGGATCCATGGGCAGAGCTCCCCCACCCTGGGCCCCCCCTTCACTGACCTTCCTCACCTCCCCCCCGGCCTGTAGGTGAGCTGCCCCTGTCGCTGGCAGCCTGCACCAACCAGCCCCACATCGTCAACTACCTGACGGAGAACCCGCACAAGAAGGCTGACATGCGGCGGCAGGACTCCCGCGGCAACACTGTGCTGCACGCGCTGGTTGCCATCGCGGACAACACCCGTGAGAACACCAAATTCGTCACCAAGATGTATGACTTGTTGCTGCTCAAGTGTGCCCGCCTCTTCCCTGACAGCAACCTGGAGGCCGTGCTCAACAACGATGGGCTCTCACCCCTCATGATGGCAGCCAAGACGGGCAAGATTGGGGTGAGTGCAGGGGGTGGGAGGCACAGCCAGCCAGCACCACCCACTCTTGTCCCTCTACACACACACACACACATGCTGGAGGAACAATAGCTAGTATTCGTTATTATTAATGTGCACCCACCTCCTATCATGCCAAGCCCTTGTCCTCACACAAGAACCTGCTGTGGCTCCCTATTGTCCAGCCACACTACTCAGCTTCATCCCAGAGCCTCTGTCCTCAACCCATGCCACTGGATGATCAGGCCCCACTCCCGCCAGCCAGGACAAGCCACTAATAGAAATCGAAGTCCCAGGCCTCAACCCCTGGATATTCCTCTATAATCCACTATCGGGGTCCTAGCTTAGCCCCTAACCTGTTGAGCAGCCCCGCGCAGGTTCTCTCCATCTCTGGCCTCACAGCACAGGGCACTGATGACATCGGAGGCTGGTTCTGGGGTGTGCGATGTGGCTGGTGCAGAGTAGGGTGATTAGCTATATCCTTGACCTTAAACCACCATGTACCAGTGGCACTCCCCACCACTGTGACAACCCCAGAAGACTCCAGACGGTGCCAGCTTGTCCCCTGGGAGGCACCGTTGCCCTGATTGAGAACCAAGCCCGCAGTGCTCTGGAGTCAGGAGCACTTGGGTCCAAAGCCTGGCTCAGCCACTTCCCAGTGTGTGACCACAGGCATCTCCCCTCCCCTCTCTGTGCTTCAGTGTCCTCGGCTGTAAAATGGGGACGAAAATAGCACCCACGACGACTAGAGAGGGTGATCCACGGAAGGTCTTTAATGAAGACCCTGGGATGGGTGCTTAGTAAGTGGCAGGAATTATTCTTGTTCTATTAAAAACATGGTGAAGACTATAAAAACTGTAGTTCATACAATTTTTATGAACTGCATAAATTTTGGCTTTTTGCACCATTAACCTGTGTGGTTCTGGGCAATGCCCACCCCCCCCTCTGTTCCTCAGTATCCCCTGCATGTAAGCTACAGATAGTGGCATCATTTAATATGTCAATAAGATGGATTCACTGTTGTTTTAATTACATAAACAAGACATTCGTCCCGATTCTGATTTTTAAGGCTGGCCCGGTTCAGTCTGGTGTCAGCTGAATGTTTGTGTGGCCTCAGGGAGCACCCTTCTTTTCCCTGAGCCTCTGTTTGGTCATCTGGGAACCAAGACCATAAGAGTAAGGACAAGAGGCATGCCCCATAAATATTTCCTCCCCTCTGCATCTTGCTCTCTGGGGAGGCGCCACAAGATGGGCTGTGATGGGTCCCTGGGTCCCTGGGATGTGAGGGGCTGAGTATGGGTGTCCTTCCCCGGGGCCTCCTGACCCACCCTTCCTTCCCGCCCACCCCATCTAGGTCTTTCAGCATATTATCCGCCGAGAGGTAACAGACGAGGATACGAGACACCTGTCTCGTAAGTTCAAGGACTGGGCATATGGGCCGGTGTATTCCTCACTGTATGACCTCTCCTCCCTGGACACGTGTGGGGAAGAGGCCTCTGTGCTGGAAATCCTGGTGTATAACAGCAAGATTGAGGTGAGCTCAGGGGCAGGGGACGGAGCCTTGGGAAGGGTGGGGTGGCTGAGAAAAGGGAAAGGACCCTGGCACCGGGAGTGGTCTGTAACTTATTTGCTGTGTGACTCAGGACAAGTGACCCAGCTTCTCTGAGTCCCAGTTTCCTCTATCTTTATCTATCTATAAGGATAGTTCGTGTCCCTTAGGGTTGCTGGGAGGACCAACTGAGTTCCTTTGAGAAGAGTCTGGCACCAAATAAACATTATATGTCAGCCATTATCATCAGTAGTCGTTAGACGAAGGTTTCAAAGCTCCTTTTTTTCACTTAGCAGTATTTCATGAACATCGTTCTGCACCATTAAATATTCTTCTGCAATATCATTGCTGCGAGTAAATGTACCACATTCTAATTAACCATTCCTCTATTCTTGGTCATTTGGGTTTGTTTCTGCCTTTAACTACCAGGAATAACACTGCAGTGGCATCTCTGTGGCTGCATTGTTGCACAGATCCGTGGTGATGAGGGAACTCACGTCATTAATGGGACAGGACGCTATACAAATGAGACAGAAACTGCTAGGGACGGGGTGTAGGTCTCCCTTCCCTCCCCAGCTCCATGAGCTTGGACAGTTGCCTTCCCCTGCTGGAGCTCACTTCCCCCATCTTTGAACTTAGGGATGAATTTGATTGAGGTTAGGGGTGGTGGGAAGTTTAGCATCTTGGTGCAAGCTTTGATGGATTGGTACTGTCTGTCTGGGAACCTGTATGGAGAACTATTGTGCAGGGCTCAATTATTGATGCCTTCCCCCCACCCACCCTACAGAGAAGAGTCACCCTTGAGTTAAGTGTCTATTATCCTGGGGCTAAATTTCCCCATCCTGTTTCCTGACTCAGACCTTCTGAGGTTGCAGCCCAAAGATTCATATATTTTGACAAGCCTATCTAAGTGATTTTGCCACCAGGAGCTGGGGACCTACCATGCTCAGGTTGGAGTTTGGGGACTATGAGAATAGCTTTCCAGCTGTTCTCTGAGAATAGCTCTGAGTGCAGAATAGCCTGGAAAGGTCAGCTCTGGCAGAACTGGGCAGAGCTCAGTGGGGTTGATTTGGAATCCCCACCCAGTTCCCCGTGAATCCTTGAGTGTCACAGAAGAGTGGCTTAGAGAGGAGAGTGCTCTCGGGGCCAAGGGTGGGGACGGGTGTGTTAGAGTTGGCCTGCCTGGACCCCACGTGGCCCCCGCTCGCCCTGTCTCCCACAGAACCGCCACGAGATGCTGGCCGTGGAACCCATCAACGAGCTGCTGCGGGACAAGTGGCGTAAGTTTGGCGCCATGTCCTTCTACATCAACGTGGTCTCCTATCTCTGCGCCATGGTGATCTTTACCCTCACTGCCTACTACCAGCCACTGGAAGGCACTGTGAGTAGCCGGGAGCCCAGCAGGAGCTGGGGCGCAGCTGGGGCACAGCTGGGTCCTCCTTTGCGGGTCCCTGTGGGAGGGACTGGAGAGAGCCCGAGATGGAAGTGCCCCCTCCCCCTACACCTGGGGGGGAAGAGAGTGAGGGAAGAGGATCCACAGGATCCAGGGGTTTGGGGGGCCTTGGGGGAACATCTGGATCTGGGGCCAAATGTCGGAGGAGCTGGGTGAGGACTTGTGTGCCGTCTGCCCCCCAGCCCCCCTACCCGTACCGCACCACTTTGGACTACCTGAGGCTGGCTGGCGAGATCGTCACACTCTTCACCGGGGTGCTGTTCTTCTTCACCAACGTGAGTGCACGGCCCCTCGCGGCGCCTGCCCTGCCCATCCTCCTTCCTCCTTTCATTTCCCCCTTCCATGCCCTTCTTCTGTCTTCTCCTCTAGGCCTATACCCTCCTTCTCTGCTTTTTCCTCTTTACCCAACAGAAAAAAGCCCATCAGCTCGGGGCGTCTAGGTGGCTCAGTCAGTTAAGTGTCTGCCTTCGGCTCATGTCATGTTCTTGGGATCCTGGGATCGAGCCTGCATCGGGCTCCCTGCTCAGCAGAGTCTGCCTCTCCCTCTGCCCCTCCCCCACCCCTCACATTCTTTCTCAAATAAATAAAATCTTACCAAAAAAAAAAAAAAAAGAGCCCATTATCTTGTCTCTGTACCACATTCTGCCTCCCTCTCTCTCCTCCCCTCCCCTCTGCATTCCTGCCAGCTCCACCCCTCTCACCTGCCTCCTCCCCTCTTCCAGATCAAAGACTTGTTCATGAAGAAATGCCCAGGAGTGAATTCTCTCTTCATTGATGGCTCCTTCCAGTTACTCTAGTGAGTCGAGGTCCCTGGGCTGTCAGATTCTGGGTGAGGAAGGTGGGATTGGGGTTGGGACTTCATCCAGATTTGGGGAGAGGGCGGGGGAGAGGTGACTCTATTAGGAGTGTATTCACCCAGCCCAGGCAGTTTAGCCCAAAGTCAGGACAAGACCAATGTCAAGCAATAGACTCTTCTGATTAAAGAAAGATACTGGTTGCTACAGAGCTATCACCACATACACCTTAGATAGAAGTAATGTAACCTCTTAGGCTGGTGATTGATTGCTAATGTCTGCTAGGAGTACAATGTGAAGAATCCTGAGGCACCTTTGTGTTTGGTGGGAAAGAGTACTGCACTTGATTAATGATGTCTGCCTGGGGCATGGGATGAGTTGCTGCCTGGGTACTACATCTTTCCCCTTTTTCTTAGGGAGCAATGAAATTCACTTATTCACAAAATCTCCACTCAACACCACTTTTTCTAGCAATTTCAAAGGGCATTACTTTGGGATCCTGTAGGGCCTGAGGCCCATTGCACACATATTACTTGCCAGCTAATTGAACATTCTGGTTAATAGAATCCTGAGGAACCCAGTGAATCTACTTTGTTTCTCTTCTGGGGGGTCCAGAAGGCATCGGGATGGCCTGGCTCCCTGGAGGGCTTGGGGGCGTGTCTCCCCCTCCAGTGCCTCATTGTCCCCTCTCCCCTCTGGGCCCTCTCATGGTCTCTGCTGCCTGTAGCTTCATCTACTCCGTGCTAGTGATTGTCTCTGCGGCCCTCTACCTGGCGGGAATTGAAGCCTACCTGGCTGTCATGGTCTTTGCCTTGGTCTTGGGCTGGATGAATGCCCTCTACTTTACCCGTGGGCTGAAGCTGACGGGAACTTATAGCATCATGATCCAGAAGGTAGGGGCCGTGGAACCTGATGGACTGTGTGTCCCTGGTGGGAGCCATGCACATGAAGTGTGCCGTTTATGTGTGTAGATAGTGCCCTTGGCCCTGAGGACATGGGGTTCTGTGGGGGCTGCAGGGAGGGTCTGGACATCGGTGGAGGAGGGAAGGGACAACGGTGGAGGTGGGAACACTTGGGATGGAGAAGTCAGGAAAATGAGAAACCACGTGTCTCATGTTTGTCTCCATATTCCCACTGGGGTCTTTAGATCCTCTTCAAAGACCTTTTCCGCTTCCTGCTGGTCTACTTGCTCTTCATGATTGGCTATGCTTCAGGTGAGCTCTGGGGAGCCGGGTGATATGCTGGGGGTGTCGCCAGGACCAGAAGGGCAGCCTGGTGCGTGGAGGACAATAACTAGCGCATGCGAGTTTCTCTCTGTGTGCCAGGCGCTGGGCTGAGTCCTCTTACGTCCCTGCCTCGTTAATCCCCCTGATGGGTCTGTGAGGTCAGTGCTTTTATTGTCCCCTTTACAGGTGAGAAAACTGAGGCTTAGAAAGGTTAAAAAACTTGCCCAAGTTCCAAAGCTAGAAAATGGTAGAGATGGCATAGTAGTGATTATTGCGAAAGGAGTCACCTGAACTTAGGGGCTTAAGACAGCCACTGTTTACTATTGCTCACGAATCTTTGGGTTAGCTGGGCAGTGGTGCTGACCTGGGCCAGGTTTGGCCCATCTCCACAAGCTCCTGTGTCCGTGGCCAGCTGTGGTTTAGCTGCCGGCTGGCCAGTCTAGCAAGAATGACCTTGGTGGGGGTGACCTCACTCTCTTCCCTGTGGCCACCTATCCTCCAGCTGGCTCAGGAGCATTCACATGCTGGTCTGAGGGTTCTGAGAATGTATGTGAAAGTGTTCAAGGTCACTGCCTGGCATCCCTTCTGCTTTACTCTGCTGGATAATGCCAGTGACAGGCCAGCCTTGATGGAAGGGTGAGGAAATAGATTCTACCTCTTGATGGAAAGACCTGCAAAGTCACATTGAAGGGGCATGGGTAGAAGGAAGGGTGAATTTGAATATGCAATCTACCAGTACAGATCAATTCTGGCTGTCTCCAGTATGCCTTCTCCGTGATGTCGTGATGCCAGGATGCCAGGGGACCTCAGTGGCACAAGCCGTGGGGGAAGTGTCAGGGATGGGGACACTGACTGAGCCATTGGGCTGAGGAGATAGCGAGAGGCTACAGCTGCCCCTTCCCAGGGTTAGGACTGGGAAGAACTAGACAGAGTGTCAGGGGATCTGTAAGGTCAAGGGTCTAGCCCTATGGTGGTCCTAATTATGAAAACCAAGGCAGGAGCTTATGGGTTAAATTAGCAAATGAGTGGTCAACTTGGTTGCAGGGCTTCTCCCAAGAGGGGACACTAGATCCCTCCTCTGAGGCTGACCTATCACAAACATGACACATGGGCCTTTTGTGTCCATGGCAGACATTGCTAATGGATCACAGAGTGATTTATTTTTTCTTTCTGATAGGTCCAGATAAGGTCTTAGAATCCTTCTCAACACATGCATCAGCAGCCGCTACACAACTTAACAGTGATAGCATATGGGTTGAAATGTGTTCACCGTAATCCCAGGATGAAGGTCCTAGGGGCTTGTATGCCCCATTGACCGAGGAGCTCAGCCTCCTTGTGCTCCCCGCCTGGGATGGTGTGGGGACCCTTGTTGCTGCTGAACTGTGTTGAGAAGAATCCTGAAGCTTCATCTGGGCTCAGCGGGAAGGGATGTGCGCCAGGATTGGTTTGAGATGTCTGGAGTGGGGGCAACGACCTTAGCAGTCACAGCCTCTAGAACAGTAGGGCCTGGCACCAGCTTTCAGCTTGCCCTTCTCCTCTGTGAGCTGGTGTGGACTGGGAAACAGGAGCATGGCAGGAGATGTGCCCCCAGGAATGCTGGCCTTCTAGACTCCTAAGACCTCTACCAGCAACAGGCTAGATTAGGGTTACCCACCCTTAGCCCTGTTGCCCCTTGGGGCCAGATGATGCTCCATAGGGGCCCTCCTGTGCATGGTGGGATGTCTAGCACCATCCCCTGGGGCCTCTCCCTGCCAGGTACCAGTAGCACTGGTTGTGCTCTCTCTGGTTGTGACAGCCAAACATTGCCAGACGTCCCCAAGGGGAAATGTGGACCCTGGCTGAGAACTTGTAGACTAGATCCCGGGACCCTCTTCCTTGTTAGCAAGAGTCTGTGGAATGAGTCAAGGCTTTGGACCCTTATGCTGGGGGACCCTGGGCCAGTGCGCTCCCCTCACCAAGCCTCAGCTGTCCCTTCTGTCGAAGGGGCACGCTGCTGTCCACCCATCAGCGTGTGTCTTCTCTCAGCGAATGTCATTCCGCCCCTCCCACAGCCCTGGTATCCCTTCTGAACCCATGTGCCAACATGAAGGTGTGCAGCGAGGACCACACCAACTGCACGGTGCCTACATACCCCTCATGCCGCGACAGTGAGACGTTCAGCACCTTCCTGCTGGACCTCTTCAAGCTCACCATCGGCATGGGCGACCTGGAGATGCTGAGCAGCACCAAATACCCAGTGGTCTTCATCATCCTGCTGGTCACTTACATCATCCTTACCTTCGTGCTGCTGCTCAACATGCTGATCGCCCTCATGGGTGAGACGGTGGGCCAGGTCTCCAAGGAGAGCAAGCACATCTGGAAGCTGCAGGTGACGCCTCAGGAGCCCCGCCCCCTTCCTGAACAGGGGAGGCCCGATCCATGGCAGGCCCCTCCTCTTTCTGCTCAGGGCCAGCTCCGTTGTCTCCTTCTGCCTCGACTTCCCTGTCTGTAAAATGGACACGTGGATGTGGGGCTTGTTGGCACAGGGGAGCTGCTGCCTTTGCTTTCCCCAAGTGCTCTATGCAATTCTAGAAAGCAATGGCCTCTGGAGGTCACATCCTTCTCCGGCCACGTACGGCTCACAAATGGGAGGTTCACAATAAACAGCACTAGCACGAGACCCAGGAATGCTGCAGCCCCTTTATGGTGCATTTCAAGGAAATGATTCAGTGAGAAGGGAAAAAAAAAAAAGCTCCAAGGTCATCCTCCCTGTTCTGGGTCTTGGGGAACGTCCGGCTGCTCTTAATCTTTATGCATACCGCTAGCTTTCTTTCCTAGGCCTCAGTTTCTCCACAGGGTATAATTCATAGAGTCAAAGTGGCAACCTGTGGGCTTGACCTTTATGTTTTTTGCATTTATGTTTTTGTTTTCTGCATTGCCAGATTTTTAAAAAAAATTAATGCAAAATTTTAAAATGAAGAGATTTCTCATAAAAATCCAGACTTCTGGCCTTTCTGGAAAGCTGGAAGCCTGGCAGGGCAGACCCACATTCCCTTCCGGCAGTGCCTGCGGGGACAAGAGGCAGCTGCCTGCGTCTACACAGGGCTTGCACTCCCTGGTTTGCCCCAGTCCCCACCCCTCCCTGGTGATTCCCAGCACCGAGTGGTGACGTCTTGCATGTGTCTTGGGACTTGGGCTGCAGCCTTCCAGCCTCTGATGCTGCTTTGCCCATTTGTGCTTCTGACAGGCCCTGTGGGCATCTGAATGTATGACCTTGCTTCTGGGGCAGTAGGGATGAGCGTAATTTCTGCCCCAAGGGCACTAGGCACTGGTGGGGGGAGGCTCACCAATGGCCTGCCCCTCTCCCCCGTGCAGTGGGCCACCACCATCCTGGACATCGAACGCTCATTCCCTGTGTTCCTGAGGAAGGCCTTCCGCTCTGGCGAGATGGTGACTGTGGGCAAGAGCTCGGATGGCACCCCAGACCGCAGGTGGTGCTTCAGGTGAGCTGGGGCGGGCAGGAGAGCGGGGTTGAACCATCCTGCATTGATTAAGCCTCTTTACCTTTTCTACCCATTGCAACTTCCTGAGCCACTGAGGCCTGATGGGCCCAACTGGAGTTCAGTTCTACTGGGTGATCTCGGGCAAGAAGGTTTTCTTCCCAGCCTGGGTTTTTTCCACGGATGACGACACCACCCCCTGGGGTTAGCTGCATGGCATCAATAGACTTGGGCTGTTACCCAGATGCATACGGAGTACCCCCTTCTTAGGGGAACCTCTGGGTGAATCTTTTCTTTCAACATGACTCATTCTTTGTAAAACGATTGCTGGCATAGAGTACGACCGTCTCGTCTTGAGTCAGGAAGAGCCAGTGTCCTGGTCTGTGAAGCAGGGACAGTAGTGGCGCCCGCCTCCTAGGACAGCCAGACAGTCCTGTTCAGTTGGAACCCGAAGTTCGAATCCTGACCCTCTGATCGGTCAGCTTCGTGACCTTGTATGAACAGTGTAACAAGCCCGAGTTTCCTCATCTGTCTAAAGGGGAACAGTGAGCGGATCTTCCTCGCTGGATACTAACCTGTAGAAATGGCTCCAAATAGGGCAGTTGAATGAAAATGACAAAAAATAATTTTCCAAGAGGGAAATTAGATTGAGCCTGTTGGAACCCAAGGGGCTGCCTGCTGCCTTTGCCAGGGCGTCCCATAAAGAGGAGGGAGAGAATGTCGAGAAGCAGGGTGTCCATTGCAGATGAACGGATAAGCAAAATGCGGGGCATCCTTAGGAAATATGATTCAGTAGTAAAATGGAGTATAGTCCTGATGCACGCTCCAGAATGATGGACCTCGAAGACGTGATGCTATGTGAAAAACAGCCACACACATAAGGCCACGCAGTGTAGGATTCCATTTATACGAAATGTCCAGAATCGGCAAATCTATAGAGGCAGAAAGCAGAGCACAGCTTATGGGGAGGTGGGGTAGTGGGACTTACAGCTTAATGGGTCCAGAATTTCTGCTTGGAGTGATAGGAAATATTAGAAATAGTGGGGATGGTGACCCAACATAGGGGGAATCTATGTAATCCCCTGAATTGTATACTTAAAAATGGTGAAAATGGCAAATTATATGTCACGTGTATTTTACCAGAATTTTTAGGGAAAGTAAGAGGATGGGTTGGGGAGCTGGAGAAGGGAGGCTGCCTGGGGGCAGGGAAGGGCTTCAGTCAGTGTAGGGGAGCCCCTGACCTTTCTGCCTGCTGTGGCCCGCCAGGGTGGATGAGGTGAACTGGTCTCACTGGAACCAGAACTTGGGCATCATTAACGAGGACCCAGGAAAGAGTGAGAACTACCAGTACTACGGCTTCTCGCACACTGTGGGCCGCCTCCGGAGGGGTGAGTGCAGGGGGCTGGGGGGTTGGGTGGGGGAGATCCAGAGGAGCAGAGGGGGAGCCTGGGTCGTCCTCATACCCGATTTGCTTTGAGCAGTCCTGTCCTCTTTCGCAGACTCCCTGTTCACATCTGTAGAATGGGAGAGCCCAAGGGGCCGGCCGCTGAGTTGTTGCCTTTGCCACTCATGAACGTCTGGGGCACCTCCCTTCCCCTGCGCTGGGTACATGAGACGCAGGGATGCAGGCCCTCAGCCATTCTGACCCAGGCTTGAATTCTGGCTCTTCCACTTGCCCCTGTGTGCTCCTGGGTTTAGAGGCTTGACCTCACGGAGCCCCGGTTTTGGCCTCTGTAAAACGGGGATGATAATCCTCCCCCTTTAGATCACTGTAGAGTGCCCGGGACACAGAAAGTGCTCAGCGCCTATGTGTGCCTTCTCCCCCCGCCCTCATTCCTCCCTCTGCCGTGCTCATGACAGATCGCTGGTCCTCAGTGGTGCCGCGCGTGGTGGAGCTGAACAAGAACTCAAACCCAGACGAGGTGGTGGTGCCTCTGGACAACATGGGGAACCCCAGCTGCGACGGCCCCCAGCAGAGCTACCCCCCCAAGTGGAGGACTGATGACGCGCCCCTCTAGGGGCTGTGGGCGGGTTAGGGTCTCTGGCCTGCAGCCCAAGCCTGTCCCTCCACCTGCCTCTTTCTATTCCACCTGCATTTCAGCGATGCCTCTGCAGGGCATCCCCCACATGCTCCTTTGACCTCCAGAGGTGAGGGCTGGGCAGAGATGAAGGGGAGGCCCCAGGACCCTCTGGTCCCCAGCTCCTGCCCCCCCAGCTCTGCCTCCCCCACCCCCCGCCCCAGGGCATGTGGCTCCTGACTGCTGGTCTCACTCCCATGGAGTCACATAAGCCAAGGCCAGGGCCTCTCTGCCCATGGGGGCTCGGTCCCCTGACTCTCCATTATTTATTTGCTCTGCTCTCAGGAAAGTGGTGTGACCCTCGCCCCCAAAGGGAACCTGACCGAAGCCTCAGGACCCCATTCCAGGTCACTGCCGGCCAACCCCCAGCCCCAGCCTGGGGCCTGGGTGGCACAAAGCACCCTGTGGCTTTGTGATGGGGCTGGGGCCCTTGCAGTGGGGCCCTGCCTTCAGTGTGTTCTGTAAAAGGGCTGGGGTTTGTCAGTGCCCAATAAATGTTCATTCACTGATGCTGAGGCTGGTAGGGATGCTGATGAGAGGAGTGGTAATGGCACGGGGATGAGAGCAGCGAGACGGGGGAGCTTGGAAATGCTGGTGGGGGGCAGGGATGAGAATGAGGAGTGGTGGTAGTGACCAAGGTGGTGTTTAGGGTGATGGCCAGAGGCTGGACTCAGCAGCGTTTGGTGGTGTGAGCCTAGGAGACACGGGCGAGATTGGAAGGGAGGGAGAAGATGGAGTCGAAGGGAATGGGGAAAGAGTAAGGTTGGCTGGGTGAGGGAGTAATGCTGAGGGGCAGAGAAATGTTACTGGCAGGGAGAGAACACAGGTGCAGGGAGAGTCATGTTGGCAGGAAATAGTAATGTTGGTAGGAGAGAGTAATGTTTGTGGGAAAGAGTAATACTGGGGGAGGAGAGTAATGTTGGTGCACCAGTAATATTGGTGAGGAGAGAGTAATGAAGAAGAAGAGTAATGTTAGTGGGGAAGAGTAATGTTGGCATGGGAGAGTAGTGTTGGAGAGAAGAGGAATGTTAGTGGGAAAGAATAGTGGGGGGACGGGCATAGTGGTGGGGGGAGAGTAATGTTGATGGGTGAGAGTAATCCTGGTGCAGATTAATGTTGGTAGGGGGAGAGTAATGCTGGTGGGTGGAGTAATGGTGGGAGGAGAGTAACATTGGTGGGAAGGGTACTGGTGGGGAGAGTAGTTTTGATGTAAAGAGTAATATTGGTGGGCAGAGTAATGTTGGTGCGAGGAGACAGATGTTGGTGGGAAAGGGTAATTGTTGGGGGAGAGTAATACTGGTATGGAAGAGCAATGTTGGGAAGAGCAATGTGGATGGGAAAGAGTAGTATTGGTGAGCATGAGTAATGTTGGGGAGAGTAATATTGATGGAAAGCGTATTCTTGGGGGAGAGTGGTGTTGGGGGAAGAGTAATGCAGGTGGGAAGAGTAATGGTGAGGAAAAGTAAAGTTGGTAGGAAGAAAGTAATGCTGGTGTGGCTTCATGTCAGTGGGAAGAGTAATATTGGTGAGCATGAGTAATGTTGGGGAGAGTAATATTGATGGAAAGGGTATTACTAGGGGGGAAGGGTATTATTCGGGGGAGAGAGTATTATTATTCCCCTGCAGGTGGGAAGAATAATGTTGATGGCAGGAAAGTAATGCTGGTGCAGATTAATATTGATGGGGAGAGTAAAGCTCGTGGGTGGATTCAGGGTGGGAAGAGAGGAATATTGGTGAAAAGAGTAATATTGGTGGGGAAGGATAATGTTGGTGGGAGGAGAGTAATGCACATGGGCAGAGTAATATTGGCTGGAAGGGTAACGTTGGTGTGAGGACAGTAATGGTGGTGGTTCTCCTTGTGTCTCTTTTTAGGAGGGAGGAAACCTGTCCCAGAACGACCTCCCCTCTTGTGTTATTGGCCAGAATAGTGTCACGTGTCTCCTGCTTCAGCCAATCAGCAGGCAGGAAGCCACAAAGTCCTAAAGCCCACAGGCACATGGAGAAGGTAGTTTCTCCTGCCAGGAATCCTTACTGACTGGGCCCCCTAGCAGTGGCTGCAGGCCTTTTTCCAGATGCCCACCCTCCGCCCCAACGGCTCTCCAATACCTGCTAATCTCTCAGGACAGCCGAGAGGCCGAGCTGGAGCCGGGGATGGCATGGGCTTCCCCCAGACCACAGGGACTGAGGAATGGGGGCACTTCCCGAGGAAAGTTGCAACATAGGTACCTGTGCCAGACCGGGTCGGTGCCCCCCCTTCCCCGCTCCTCCCTCTGCCCGTGCATTTGCAAGAGAGCCTTATAGTGTTCTCCCACTGTGCACAAAGCAGAATTTTGCATCCCTGGCTTGACTAAGAGATTTGTTTTAATCAGCGGACATGCGTGGGCTAGGCTCCCCCAAAGGAGGCTGCACGATCCGTGGAGCGCAGCAAGCCCGGGTGACCACAGAGGAACCCCAAAGATGCATGAGAAGGAGTTGTTCTCCCATGCCAATGAGTTTTTGTGGTAGTTACTTTTTTTTTTTTTTAAGGGCAGGCATCACTTTTGCAGCAACAACTAATGATTGCAGAATGTCCACTGCCCCCCATGTTTCGGATGAGGAAGCCAGGGCTCAGAGAGGTGAAGACTTTTGCCCAGGGCACCTGGCTGGGAAGTTGAACGCCCACATTCTGCCCTCAGAGCCCATCCTGGAGAGAATGCACTCTGACCCCCGACAGGAGACAGGTGACAAGGCCAGGTCCCTCCTTTACTCTGAAGCCCCTGGCTGTCGCCTGCCACTTTTGCTCAGCCCCCGAGACTGTCAGCTCCTGTTTAGAACCCTCTCGCTCTTTGAACATACCCCTAACTTTATTCCAACCCGGATTTCTTATTATGTGCGTGTATGTGTATTTAATAATGATAAAGCACTTATATGTCATATTTGACAGGAGGGCTTTTTTCATCTCAACTTTAAAGCACTACTGGGAAATAATTAGTGCTACTAGAGTCAAAAACAATGGGACCCCATCAGAAAAGACAGTCTCGGAAACTCTCAGATCTTAATTGAACAATTACCGCTTATGCCTATGAATACTTCATTATTACATGCCCTGTTATTATTAGCTGTTATTATTGTTTTAGATGAATGCTGGGGATTTTTTAAAAATCAAAAGCCATTTTCAACCACACTGTTCATCTCCCCGGAACGCACACTCCTGACATTTCCGAATATAATAACGTTGTAGCCGGCAGTCTCCACACCTCGCCCAGAAGACGTGTGTTCTGATCATTTCAGTTGTTTGGACGGAGCCGTTAAAGACTCTGGGCCTCTGTTCATACTGTTATTAATTGTTGACTCCCTGGCAAAAGCGTTGGTGTGAGAATCAAGCACCCCTTACCTTTTCATTTTTAGGAGCACAAAGCCATCAGGACAATGGGGAGATCTTCGTTCACCCCAGGCTCATGAGATGAAGCAAAAGAAGGGATGGTGGTGGAGGCAGAGGACAGGATGGAAAGGGCACTGGCTGCAGAGACCCAAGCCCAGAGAAGGCAGGCGAGCTGGGCATCTTCTCTTCTTGGAGGGAACCATGGGGGGAGGAAGCAGGCGATCGTGTGCTGGTAGGCACTGTACTCAGTGTTTGGTGTTCACATCTCAGGAGCCATGTGTGGGAACGGGAGGACGGGTGTTGGATGTCCCTCCAGAAACCATGTCCCCCTTCCTTCTTCGCAGCACCTGTTTTGTTCAGAGTTCTCCACTCTGCTCCACAGTCAGGAGCTTCCCTAGGCCAACCACTGTGACTCTATTTCCCTTACTAGGGATTGGTTGGGGAATTACCACGTGAACCTATGATTTCTGACCTATGAGACAAAAGGGGAAGTCTGCCGAAGGAGGGGGGATCCTGGGAAAATAAGAGAAATCTAGGAAGACGCTGTCTTTGCTGGGCACTGTCGGGTTTATGATGTGATGCCTGGAACTGCAGCAACCATTTTGTGACCATGAAATTGTTGGGTAGAATAGAAGATGGAAAGAGATCTTTGATGATACCATTGAGCTGCTGAATTAACCAACCCTGGGGCCATCCTACCTCCCTACCTTAGGGCTTCTTATGATTGTTGGAGATAATTTTTCTTTCTCATTTAAACCAGCAAGTCAGGGTTTCCTGATACCTTACCCAATTCCTGCGGGTACAAGAATATGTTTTGATTCCTATTTTACAGATGAGGAAAGTGAGCCCCAATGAAGTAAACACACTTGCCTAAGATCACACAGCCTAGATGTGGTGGAGTCAGGATTTGCCCCCTCTGTCTTAGAGGAGAACCCTTCTAGGGATTTGTAGGATTGTCTTTACATGGTGTTTTGGCCTTTCTAAAGCATGTGGTCATCCATTTCTCCACTGTAACAGCCTGTAATGGGTTCCAACAGGTGAGGACAGGGGAGGCTGGATGGAGCTGGGAATGGAACCCAGGTACCCAGATTCCAGCAGACAGCCTTCTCAGCATCTCGAGGTGCTCTGTGACATCAGAGAGTCTCGCTTGTTCTTACCCTCTCCCCCCGCCCTCCTTTTGGGATGCAGCCACCAAATCCCACAGATCAGCCTTTGGCCTGTGCAGGGTGGGACGGCTGATCCTCGAGTTTGGCCACCAGGGGCCGCTGTAGTCATACCCAGGGGCCTGCTCAGCAGGGGCCGGAGGGAACCTAGAACCAGCCAACTTGGTCAGGAAGAGCCCCTCACTGAGCTCTCCATTAGTAGCACCCTGAGGCTCTGAGTTCAGGAATTCCCTTACCTCCCAACAAGGAGAGAAGGCAGCCCAGATCTGCCCCTGGACAGTCTAGAACCTAGTTGCTGTGTGCCTTCAGGCAAGTTGCCTTCCCTCTCTGAACCTCATTTTCAAAATCGGGGTACACCCCCACTTGTCAAAGGAGGGATTCCTTCTCTTTCCTTGCAGATCTCTTCTCTCCTTTGGGCCTAGCACAACACAGTGAACAAAGACCAATTAGGATGTGGTGGCCCCAGAACTGAGGCCCAATGACTCCAGGTCAGGGTTGGAGTCCAGTCATTGCTCCACCAACTGGGGAAACTGAGGGCCACACATCACCAGAGAGAAGGAGCTTACTCAGTTTCCCTAACTGCAACACAAGAGGTAGGACTCTATATTTCCTGAAGTATTGTTCCTTGGGATGTTAATGGATAGAAACAAAAACTTAGGTGATCAAAAATATTAGGGAAATGCTGGGTTAAAGCTAAAAGGGTACCTTGCCTGAAGGACTTTTCAGAGCCTTTAATATGCTAATATGATTTGTGCAGCTCTAAGGTGGGGGAAGGGGGATGCATCTGTTTCTTTAATTCTTTTAACCTAGAAACCCATTTTCCAAGGTGAAAGCAGCTGGACCAGGTGATGACAGAAGTAACACACCTAACTTTTGGGGCATCTTCTCCCAAGGAGGCTCTGTCCCCTAGGAACCTGACCACCTGTTTCCAATATTCAACCCCTGGTGGTTGTAATGTGCTTGCTCTTTGTGGTGGAAAAAGAGGCAGCTCAAAGAGGGGTGGTCACTTGCCAAAGACCGGGTGCTCATGAGGGAACCAGGTCTGTCTGATCCTCAGCCCCTAGGCCCCACTGCCCTGGGACTGCCTCGGGACTCATTTGCCCTGTCATCCTTATCACACGTCACCTGTGGACATCCCAGGTCTTCAGAGGCCACCACCTCCTCTGATAGATTTGGAATTGAGTCTCAGGCCACACAAGTCCGCCCAGGGTCACATACGGTGTCAAGGAGGGCCACTTTTCCTGTCCCCTCCCCTCCCACTACCACTCTCTTAGGGAGCTGGCCCATGGTGGTGATTTAAATATAAATCCATGCGGCATCTGGGTGGCTCATTTGGTTAAGCATCTGCCTTCAGCTTGGGTCATGATCCCCCGGTCCTGGGATAGAGCCCCATGTTGGTCTCCCTACTCAGCGGGGAGTCTGCTTTTCCCTCTGACCCTCCCCCAACCCTCCCAACCCCTCCCAGACGCGCTCTCAAATGATAAAATCTTTAAAAAAAAAAAAAAAGAAAGAAAGAAAGAAAGAAAAAAAAGAAATCCTCTGACAATAGGTCCCCCTGGCTGGGCCACAACTTCCAGGCCCGAGCAGGGGCAGGTGGGGTCCCCGAGGGCCCTTGAAGGCCGCCTGGATTGCGCAGTGGGTGGGGCAGTGGGAAGCGTGCACGTGAAACCCACGTTGGCGGGCGGAGTCCCGCCCCTCTGGAAGCCCCAGTGTAGGTTCCAAGCTGAAGTCTCTGGCTGTTGCCACGCAAGGTCAGGGGTTGACCTTGTCTGCTTCCCCTGTCCAGGAGTGGGGAGGTGCACGGAAGGCCCGCCTATAGGAGTCGGGAAAGCACAGAGCTACCCTGGAAAGGTGAGTGTTCCTTGTGGCGGCTCCGCTCATGTACTTGCTCAAGCTTTCAAGCCCCTCTGGGGCTGCTCTGATGTCAGTGTGAGATGGGGTGATGCTCTCCTAGCAGTTGTTAATGACAACAGGCGTCACATAGTGGCGGTTATGTGCCAGCCATATGTGGCGACCACCTCGGACACTAAGGGGCGTGAGCGCAAGACCGCTAAAGGGAGAGAAGGAGCCCAGTGTCGCCCCAGAAGACCTAGAGGAAGGCTTGCAGCTCTGCCTGAGGTGGGGGGCAGACAGATGGCAGATTCCCCCACTCTGAGCCTTCACCCAGCACGAAGTCCTGCCCCCTGGGAGTGCAGGACCCAAGGCTGGACCCACGCACTGGAGCGAATTGGCCATATTTGGGGCGTGGTGGTAGTTCTATGTTCTCTGCAAAGTGCAGCCCACTCCCAGGGCAGGCTTGGAGTCAGATAGGCCCAGGTTCTATCCCAGCTGCTTCTCCATTCTCCACCCTCAGCTGACCTTGGGCAAAGTGATTGGCCTTCCAGGGGCCTCACTCGCCCCACCCCTGCCATGGAGACGTGCACCTGTGTCATGTTGCATGATCTATAGGGGACTAGATACCATTTAGCACCAGGTCTGGGGACCCATCTGCTGGCAGTGACTGTGGGCATTGTAGCATTGGTGGTGATGTCATCATCACCCGCCCTGCCCCTCCAATGTGGCAGGTAGTCCAAGGTGATTATGTGAATGGAGTGCAGGGGTGCTGCACGCTGGAGGGCCTATTGAGATAAGCCAGCCCTGCTCCCAGGAAGGAGCCCGGCCAAAGCACCTGGGAGCCGGTGGTGCTAGGACAGGGCTAGAACCCTAGCCAGACTGTCTGTGCCATGCACTCCTACTGCGCTATGTGTAGACCCACAGACCCTGCCCATGGAGGGCGAGGTTTTCCCAGATTGGAGGCAGGTCCGTCCTCAGCCCACATCTCCAGATGGGGGACCTGGCCTAGTTAGAAGAGTGGCTCCAGTCTTGCCTCCTTGCTCTCCCCTGATGCTCCAGTGTGGGTGGGCCCCTGGGAACAGCCAAGCCACAGGCCACCATCCAGCTCTAAACCTGGCTCTAGACCCCAAGTTCTTGCCCTGTGCTTTTGTACCCTTGAATTCCCTGAGTTATGGTCACTCCAAGTAGCAAAGCCAGGATTCCAACCTGCTTCTAGTTCAGGCCAGAGGCTGGGCCTCCCGGGCTGCCTGCCTCCTGGGCTCCCCCGGGGTGCTGTGAGGCCACAGGTGGGCTTTGGCTCCATGTGAGGGGAGAGGCTGCTGGAGTGTCTGGGGTGTCTGGAGGCGGCCTGAGCCAGGGTGTGGGACCTGATGCCGGAACCTGGCTTCTTTTTACCGTCCTTGCAGCCGTTCTCAGGTTCTGTGTTCTCGTCTGTAAAATGGGGATGATTTTGTCACACACCTGATGGTGCTGTTGTGAGGCTGTTTTGGGAGATCAGTGAAGCGCTCAGTCAGCTGCCGCTTACATACCACTTATGGTCACTCCTAGAGGCCTTCTATGTAGCTGGTCACCCAGCACGACCCCTGGACTGCTCCCCCGGGGCGTGCGGGGTGCTACGCTTGGTTCACTGACCTAGTTCCGAAGGGCTTGGGTCCTGTCCTGGCACCCAAGTAGGGCTGTGTGCATAGCAGGGGAGGCCTGCATCAAACTAGGGGCTCTCCAGGTCCCCCCCAGGCCAGACGGCAGGCTCCCCCATGCCTGGGCAATTAAGGCAGAGACAGGCTGTAAAGAAGAGTCCAAACCATGGGGTTCAAAGCCCCATTTTTCAGACTTGCTGTGTGACCTTAGGTCACTTCACATCTGAGCCTCGGTTTCTTCCGCTCAAACACCTACTACCTTGCAAGGATGTGGTGAGGCTCCAGGGAGATACAGTGTGTATGAAAAGGCCCAGCACAAATGGATTGCTGATAAACATGAAGTACCTTGGGTGGTCTTCTGCAGATCCCCTGCCCCCGACCCAGCACAAGGGCCTGGGTGGGTGTGTGCTGGGGCTGCCCAGCCTCTTTGGCCTGCCCGCAGTTGCACTGCCCACCCAAGGAAGCTTGGAGAGTGTCGGGGACAGAGGAGAAGCTGGGAAGGAATGTAGTGCGACATGGGGGACACCATCCCCAGACAATTCAGGGAATGAGCCACTGGGCCCGGGCTTGGTTCTGCCTCAGCCACGCTACAGACTGATCACTGGCCGTGGCCCAGGGGCCTTTAGCCTGGGTGCTGGCGCGTGAACAGGGTACATGACAGCGTCCCCCTCTCAAGAGCTGGAAAAGTAAATGACCCACGGAATGCCTGGTGCAGTGGGCACCCCTGGCCCGCTTCCTCGGGGCTCTGTGCTGGGTCGGCTGGGGAGGAGATGACCCCATTCTACTCCTAAGGGAGGGACGGCAGAAAGAACAAAACAGGAGCTACAGAACAATTCCACAGCTGAGACACCATCTGTGTTTTCCTTCTTTTTTCTTTCTCTTCGTTTTTAAAACAATATAGTGCAGACTGCACTTCTCACAGTAGAATATAATGGTCAATTTTAGTATAAAAAAAAAACATTCTCAGAGATTTGTAAATGCACTTAGTGCTTGAACAGGCCTTGGAGAGATACAGTACCGCTTCCGGAGTGCCAGAGGGGCCAGGGCTCAGGGAATTCGGGCCTTGGGGATGTAACCGGGGGTGGGGGGGTGGGTAGAGAGGGATCCCTGCCTGCCTCCCTCCCCCAACCCTTGATGGTGCCCAGCAGGCTTTGGAGGGCAGCTTGCTGGAAGGGAGTTGGATTGGGTCTCCCAACTAAAACCAGTAGGTCGCCTCCTCGCTCGCTCCTAGGAAAACCCCAGAAGGCGGCAGGGTAGGTTCCCTCTGACTGGTGTCTAAGATGGCAGGCCCACTGTTAGCCCCTGTGGTGCCTTTGTGCGAATAGGGAAAATGGCGCCCCTTCCTCAAGATTCAGAAAATTGCCATAATAAATATACAAGTCTAGGATGCAAATGGTGTCTCCTTGGATGAGGTGCCCTTGTGCAGTGCACAGCCTGTATAGCTGTGCCCAGCAGCCCTGTAAGATGTGGACAGAAGGGGGAAGGTGGTAGTACAGGGTTTGGAGAGAGTGGGAATGGGGTACAATTCTGTGTTGGGAAGGAATGGTAGGAGAAGGAGAACCTGGAGGAGGAGGAGCAGGGGGGACTGGTAGTCCTTGGAGCCTATATTAGAGTGGTCTTCACCTGGATTAGCCAGTGGGGGACACTGTAGGCCCTGTGACTTTCTATACCCTTTCTCTGCTCCGTTTCCAGGAGACTGGGGAGATCATGGTGGGAGATGTCTGACCCCCCCCTGACTCTAGACTGTCACATTTCCTCCTGTATCCCACCCTGGCCTGAGCTCCTCTCCTGGGAAAGCCAGAAAGAACCATTCCTGTCTTAAAGTGGTTTCTGTCTCCCTGCCTCTGCTGGCTTGGATGGAGGCAGTGGTGGACGTCAGCAGCTGCCCTGGGCCCTCCCCGTGTCCTAGGGCAGCCGGTGGCAGGGAGGGGCCTTGGGGAGCCTGGCCGTCGTGTTCCTCCCCATTAGGTGGCTGCGTGGCAGCAGCCTGCCTGGCTTCCCTGTGGGCATCCATGGGCACTCGGGCCCAGGGTGAGGCTGGGCACCCCTGTGCACTGCCCACCCTGTTCCACGGCCTGCCTCCCCGCTCGGCGCCCTGTCCGTCTGTCCGTGTGGCTGCCGGGCGGGCCTTATCTGTAGACGGGCAGGCGGATGTGGGCATGCTGGTGGTCAAGCAGCCGGGGCACGGCCACGGTCTCGTAGCCCTTGCCCAGCATCTGCTCCTTGATGCAGGGCGGCCGGATGTCATTAATGAGATACTCCAGCGACTGCAGGCTGCTGCTCAGCACCGCTGTGTTGCAAACGCTCTTGCTGGGCAGGCCCGAGAGTGCCTCCGCGGGGGGCCCTGCTAGCTCCCGGGCCGCCCCCGGCCCCAGCTCGGTGACTGCCACAGCCGCTGCCGGGTTGTAGCAGTCGCTGGTGGGGGTCACCAGCACGCTGTTCCAGGGGGCGGCGAAGTACTGGCCCACGGTGAAGCCAGTGGGCAGCCCCAGGCCGCAGTTGAGGGGCGACCCACCGGCCCTCTCGTAAACCCGCCCCCCGCAGGCCTCCGGGGACTTGCTGGCCACCGTGCCGCCACTGTAGGCCCGCAGTGGCTGGGGCGGTGGCGGGGGCGGCTTCTGCGGCCACAGCAGGTAATCCAGGCCCCCATCTGCGTACCCTGCAGGCTTGGTGGCCCCAGCCAACGTCAAGGCCGCTGCGCTTCCCTGGCCCAGCTCGGCGCCCTTCCGGCAGTCAGGCAGGCCAGCAGCGGCCGCATAGGCCATGCCGGGGAAGCTGGGCACGGGGCCATGCTTGGCCGGGCTGGGGTGGGGACCGGCCACAGCCTGGCAGGTGGCAGGCGCGGCGCCCGGGGCCTGGCACTGCTGGTTGAGCTGGTACAGGATACTGTGGATGGAGGGCAGGTTGGAAGGCGGCAAGGGCAGGCCACGGCCAGGCAGGGGGATGACAGAGGCAGCAGTGGCAGCAGCCGCGGGCAGGCCGGGCGGCGGGGCAGGTGCTTCGGGGGGCTTGGGGTAGGCCAGGGGCCCCAGAGTGCTGGGCGCCGGGTAGGGCGCGATGCCCACCTGCACGGCAGCCGGCGACAGCTTGGTCCGCTTGCCCTCGGCGCTCTTGAGCACGCTCTTGGCGGGCCCGGAGGGTGCAGCGGCGCCAGAAGAGGACACAGCGGCCTTGACAATGGCCAGTAGGCCCTGGTAGCCAGCAGCGTGCTGTGGGTAGGGGCTGTAGCGCTGGCCACTGGTGTCATAGCCGTTGACGGTGCGGCCGAGGTGCTTGTGCTGGGGCACCCGGATGTTGGTGGGGAAGATCTTGATGGACAGTGGGCTGTTGGCCACCTTCTCCGCATAGGCGTCCAGCTCGGCCGGGCTCGGGTAGCGGGACGAATGCATGGAGCTGGCCGCCGTCTCACCTGCGGGGACAAGCGGGAGAGGAAAGCACAGGTGAGAGCCACCTCTGTGACCCAGGGAGCCCACGGCCCGCTACCCGCAGCGGGGCTTACTCTGCCCCTCCCTCCTTCGGTTCCCCATCTGTCCCATCCCCTCGCTCCTCCAGCTTGTTCCATCTACACTCCAAAGCGGCACATCTAGCGTCAAGTACGGGAAGGAAAGCGCACGTCGTCAGCTGAACTCGCACAGACCAAATGCACTCCTGCAACACCCCTGCGGCCGAGCGATGGGACATGGCCAGTCCCCCAGAGCCCCCTGCACCCCTGCCCAAGCAAACAGCTGTCCTGACTTCTGACGGCAGTGTCAGGCGGGATGGAATCCTGCTATGCGTCCCCACCCATACAGGCCTCTGCCACTTAGGGTGGCTTGTGGGATATGCCCAGGTGGCGTGGTCCATGCGTTCTCGCTGCCCTGTGGTCCTCGTGTGGGACGCAACCATCACAATGTACTCGTCCTTGCTCCTGTTGATGGCATTGGGGGCAACACACTTAGCACCATATGTCCTCATGTACACATTATCCTGTGACTTCTGTTGGGACTATGCCCAGCAGGGGGATTCGGGGCAGATGACTCTGCAGCTCTAGGAGAAGATACCCGCAGTCTGCCCAGGAGACTGTCCCAGGCTCCGCTCCCCCGCAGAGCCCAGACGTTCCGAGGGCTCTGCAGCCTCAGTGATGCTCGGTGTCACCTGTCTTAATACCACACCGTCAGGAAGCTATTCCTCCTATTGCTTCATTATCCTCTCTGTGCCTCCCTTTCCTCATCTGTAAAATGGGGTGATGATGACCTGCCACCCTCTGTGGGACAGTTAAGCATGCTGCTCCAGGAATGGAGCACAAGGCCTAGAACGGGGGGACATGGTGCAGGCAGCAGCTGCTGTGTCAGCTTCTAGCCTTTTCTCCATCAGCAGGCAGGTGAGGGGGGAGTTTACCCACCCCGGCTGCCCAACCCCTCCCTGTCAACTGCAAGGCCAGTGGTGTAACCCCTGCCTTTTCTGCATGTGGTTGGCATGGGGCTGAAGGGTACACTTTGTGTGACAGACTGACTGTCCTAGTCTTGGTGGCACAACTGGCACCTTCTATGGGGCAGGTGGGTTGCTGGTGGGCAGACCCCCTTCTCTCATCCAAAGCCTCTCCCTGGGCCTGAGATATTTCTCAGCATTGCCCAGGTCCCTCCTTGGGTGGAGAAGGGAGCAGGGGCCTCCCAAGAAATAGTTGGGAAGAAATAGTTGGAAGTTGGGTTTAGAACCGGCGCACTGGGTAGAATCCTGTCTAGTTGTGGGCTTTGTGGCTCTGGGCAAATGGTCCGTCTGGCTGAGCCTCATTTTCCCCACCTGTGGAATAGGCATCAGGCATAATTATGCCAGTCTTACAGGGTGGCTTGGGGGAAGGGCTGTGCCAAGGGGCTGAGCAGAGGGTGTGAGGCTCACAGTCGGTGCTGGGAAGGGGCGACCTCTCTGGGCCCTTGGGCAAGGGGACCCCTCAAGGTCTCCACGGCACATTGCCTTCCTCCTGCCCCATGAGCACCCCTGGAACCCACTGGGGACTTGAGAATGAGGCTTCCCCACACTGTGGCTCTGTTTCCTCATCTGTAAAATGGGCATGATGCTCCTTGGGACACTGCCTCCCAGTGTGGCTGCAAGTTCCAATGAGTTGTGCGTGGTGGGGTGCGTCAGCAGAAGCAGGTGCTCTCTAGGCGGAAGTGGTAATACCCTCCCATCTGCCTGGGACAAAGGCCTTCCTGAGGAAGAAGGGGTAGCGGCTCAGGCTGCCCTTTCTGACCACAGGTGGGCCTGGCATGGTGGCTGGGTGGAGTGCTGACCCCATCACCTGCCCTCCTCCCCCTCGGTTGGAAGGCCTCACCCCACATCCCATCCTTCCAGAGCCTCAGCCCTGGTCCCCTTGTTGGGCTCACAGCCAATCTCGGCAAGGTATGTGCTGCAATGGGAAGGCACAGGCATTTTGGGGTGCGGGGGGGCTCACTCAGGCCAGCTTCGGAAAGCGAGATGGCTTTCTAGAAGAAAGAGCATCCCAGTTAAGGCAATGTTGAAAGGGGTGAGGAGAGAGCAGAGAAACACATATCAGGCAAAAGAAAACAGCACAGGCAAAGGTCCAGGGGCGAGGAAGCCTATCCCCAGTGGGAAATGTAATTCAGAATGAAAGCAGAAGCCAAGGGCGACGGGCGACAGTTGACAGTCGACCGTCGGGAGAGAGAGGTGGCCTGGGAGGGCGAGAGGTAGGGCAGTGGCTTCCCCCACCCCACCCTGAGGGCACATTAGCCAGTCTGGGGATGTACTTGGTCCTCACACTTGGGTTGGGGGAGCCGCCACCCCAACTACGGGGGTCCAGTGGGTAGTGGCCTGGGATGCCATGGGACAGCCTACAGTGCACAGGACCACCTCTGTGCGCAGAGAGTGTTGGAGAAACCCTGTCCCAGGCCATCAGCAGCCAGGCGAGGTTTGACACGGGAGAGGGAGGTCCAGGCATGCATGTCAGAGAGGTCATTCCTCTCTGCCCTGAGGTGCAGGAATGCAGTCTGACCTGGGCAGGGCAGCAGGGAGGGAAGAGGCAGGCAGCCCTCAGCATCCCAAGGAGCCTGGGCCAGTGCCCCTCCATCCCTGGGTCCTAATCTGGGCCAGCAGGTGGAGCTGACCCCTGGCAGGCCACAGGCCTCCATCCTTGACCCTGCCTGGGGCAGCCCCCTCCTAAGTGGCCTAAAATAAACTCAGTGTGGAGAATGGAAATGTCACTTTGGCCAACGGGGGAATCTTTCTCCGAGATTGGATTTAAACTACATTATACAAGCAATTTCATGGGCACTTAGCGCCGCTCGGAGAGTCCCGCAAAAAAGGGACCAGCTCTTCATTTACCAGCCATAAATCAGCAGTTGCTATAATGAGCACAAAAATGTCACTTTTATGCAATTTTACAGATGAACAAAACTGGTGAAATTAACTGTGGTAACCTACCAGAGTCAGCAAAAGCGGCTGCTGGGGAAAAAATTATATCTGTATGTATTTTTGTTCCTCTTCAACCCCCTTCCCAAGCAGGTTTCTGCCATTGTGGTGTGAAAACTCATTTGTCCTCACCATTATACTTTCATTTGGAGTTTATCTTGAGTATCCAATGAGCCACCAACTGTGAAAATGATTAAATCTACAAAATCTATCTAATGGATGGAATAAATTAGGTGTTTAAAACCTTTAAGAAGAAGATGAAGAAGAAGAGGGGCTTTGTAAAAAGGGTTCAGCCTGTTACCGGTTCCCATTCGCTGAAGGATGGGCCCGTCTGGGCCCCCCCAGTCAGCAGGGCTCCCCCAGGGCAGGTTGGGGCCTCCAGTATTTGCGGGAGCCGATGGGGGTGGGGGTGCCCTTTGGCTGCACTGAGTACAGGCTGGTCTCTGGGCCCACAGCTTTTCTCAACATCTCTTGTCTGGAGCACCTGAGCACTCTTGAGAGCCGGAAGCGGGGGAATGGGCAGTGACAAGTTCAGCACCATAACAGAGCCCCATGGGGTCAGGGACTCATAGGTTTATGTGTGGCAGGCGGGGGACCTGCTGGGGGACCCCAGGGCCTGTCTTCGATGCTGCTCCCTCCCTGCCTTCCCTGGACTAGGGGACCCCTACCCCCCTAGCTGGACTAGGGGATCCCTACACCCCCAGCCTGGAGGTCCCATTAGTGCCTGGGTGTGGTCACCACAGACACCACAGCAGATCCTGGTGGCCCTGGGCTTGTCCTTCTGCCCCCCAAGACTTGGGCTCCCTAGCTGGCCCGTCTGCCGCCGTGTCCCCCAGCATCTACAGGACACAGAGTAGGTCTCCAGGAATGTCTTACTGGACGACTAGGCTGTGCCTGGATGGACCCATCCGGCCTAGGGGCCTCTGTGTGCTGCCAGTCACAACACTTGGAAGAACGAGTCCCAGGAGGGACTAAGCTAAGGAGACAGCCCATGGCAAGCTGCCTCTCCAAAGCCCCTTTCCAGCCCCGTGTCCAGACACTTCCTGGACCCTTGTCTATGCAGGCAGCGCACAGGGCCTTGGAGAAGCAGCAGCAGCCAGAGCAAACCAAGGTTCCCGCCCTCACGGAGCTGACAGTCTCACAGGGGTGACAATCCTGAGACCCTCTCAGGCAGCCACAGGCCCCAGGAACAGGGACAAAGCAGACGTGGTAGCTTGAAAACCTGTCCACGAATCCTTTGGCACTCCTCCCACAAGTAGTGGAGGCCCATCTTCCTTCCCTGGAATGTGAAGGAACTCAGCTACTTGATTCTGCACTGAGTGGGTGGAGTGGGTGCCGGCAGGGTGGGTGGGGATTGTGGCTGGTGGGGCACCATGTGGCCCTCCTGGCTGGGCGGTAACAGGCAGCGTGGCTTTGCACAGACACCAAGGTGGCTCTGTGCCGGTCTGTGCTCCGGGAAGCCCCAGCCCCACGGAGGGCCACGTGTGGGTGTTTGAGTGGACCGCTGGCATCCACCACCTGACATGGGAGGAAGCAAGCCTTCGGAAGCTTCCAGCACCCAGCCCAGGTCTCCCTCATTCTGCTCACAGCAGCAGCACAGAGCAGACACACCCTCCCCACTGTGCCCTGTTCTCCCAAGCGCACCAGATGGCTGTCGGAGGTCACTGAATCAGGGGGTGGGTAGTTATGCAAGCACAGTAAGCAAAACAGTGGGGCCTGGGGGTCGCAGTGACCCCGCGGAGGGGTGCCTAGTGTGGACACTGTGATCAGCGAAGGCGTCTGATAAAGTGGCCTTTGAGGGAAGGCTGCAGAGTGAGGGAGTGAGCTACATGGCTCTCTGACAGAAAAGCGGTCTTCGCAGGGGACAGCAAGTGCCAAGGCCAAGGGGAATGGACCAGGCGTGCCTGGGGAAGCAGCGTCAGCAAGGGAGGATCGTAGAAGGTGGACGGGGTCAGGCACTGTGAGGACCTGGGCTCCTGCTCCACGTTGGAGGGCGGGGACCAGAGG